CATTATTAAACAATTAAACCCCATTTCAATTAGTAAATGGTAGCCTAGCTACTGACCTGCGTGTTTAACATCATTTCAATAAATCTATTGGAATAACGGTAACTTAATTACCTTATACCCCAATATCGCATAAGAAAAGAAAATTATCAAATTGTTTTAATTTAATTGACAATTATTTACTATCATACAGTACTAAATTAATAATAATTCGGATATCAATTAACTCTACCAATTAATAAGAAAATCTTATTATGTATCATTACAAATGTGCACTTAATATAAAAAAAATATTCAACTTTATTTTATAAGGTAAAAAATATTGTCCGCATAATAATCTCATTATATTCTCTTGTGTATTTTAAACACGAATAATATTACCTATATGTGAATATTTAAAAATGCCTCTTTAATGCAACTGATTGTTTAAATGCTCCAGAGCATTAACACACATTTTCATAATCCCCTAATGATGAAATTTTGTATAATGTAAATATCTCCCTAGGGGGTTGTGGTTTACTATATGTATATATTATATACATATTCAATAAACTTTAATATTCACTTTATATCAGAGAACGGATATAACTACCCATATTAAAAAAAAATCCTCTATCGAACCAATGATTTTTAAATAATTTAGTATACGATTAGTCTATAAATCCATGAGGATGAAATTATAATATTAGAGCTAAAAGTCTCTTGTACATCGAAACTATTAAATTTTATTATACGAAGACTTTAAAGATCTTGCTCTAATTGCTTTTGGAAAGTCTCTTTCTCTCGTTAAAACAAAAGACATTACACGTACAATTCAAGTGTAATCAACTGTTTTAACACATATATAAATATATAAGAAAGTGTGTAATAAAAAAATTTTAATTCCTTTATAAAGAAATATTATTCATTCGAATATGAAATTGAAAGAATTTTTTTGATTCCTGACATTACTTTACAATACTACTATTGCATCCAGTCATTAGTTCTACTAATTGTTAGTTAAATTTCTACTAAAAATCTCTAAAATTCAACTAATTGCTAGTAAAATTTTAACTAAATCTTTTGGTGGACATACTTCGTGCGAAAAAAATGATCAATTTAATTAAAAATTTCACGAAGTAAAATTTTGTTGATGCAATAATATAATTAAGTGTATATTAAAAATTGGAAACAAATTGTTTAATCGCATGCAAAAGTTCATTTCATTAATTAAAGACTTGTTAAATTAAATACTTTAAAGGTTCAAATACACAGTATGTATTATAACATTATATAATATTAATATTAATACTTCGCTATCAGAGATACCCTTTAGACATTACATGTAATATTAATTAGATCAAATTTTACGTAAAGTATAAATTATTGCAATAATTTACACATTAAAATATAAAAAAATATACAAATTAAAATTAATTACAGAAATAAACAAACTATTAAAAAATTATAGTAATTTAAAAGGAAATTGTCGTATAGAAAATAAAAGGTTACAATGTAAACACTATAACTCGAAAGAGGAAGTTTTACCCTGTGGACTAGTTTGATTATCCACGCAGTATACACACTCGAAACTAAGTTTCTCTCTCTCTATATATATATAATATTTGTAATGAAAACCGGGATTTCAAGGAAATAATGTAACTTTTGTGTCACGGACTATATGCTTTTCCTTACAAATCACTAATCTACAATATCAACTTTTTTTAATTAAACTGTACTTCAAATTATTTCAATAATAAATTGCATTGCAATAAAAATTAAATATTACATAATTAAAATTTAATATTATTGCATGTTTCTTTTGTTATATTAATTTTATTTTTAACGCAAAATGTTTTATTTATTATAAACTTTTAACAGTATTCCATTACACTTGAAATTATTACAAAAATATAATGTTACTCTACGTTATGTAAAAGAGATGTTCTCATTATGATAATAATGTAAAGTATGAATAAATATATTTAAATTCAATTTATATCAAAAATGTCAGAGTTCACTTTACAACCGAAATTTTACTGCGCATATGTAATATAAATTTGAATGTAAATTAAACAAAAGTTGATGGAAATAAAATTTTTCACAATTACAACAATTTTAAATAAACAAGTATGAAAATTCAAATATAATAAGAAATAAAACATAAATTAAAAATATAATGGATTTATGAAACATTAAATTTATATCAATTTATCCAAATCAATATAGGTATAAAATTTTTATCGAATAAAATAACTCTTTATGAACATGGTATACACTTTTATTGTTGTTCAATAACAAGTGCGAGGAATAATGAATTAATGATCTGTTAATTTAATAGCTATCATGGGAATATCCTTTAAAATAGGGACAATATATTCTTTTGCCACACACTAAACACACAAGCTGGGCGATAAGAACAACATATGGTCCATAAACCTAACATTGAATCTATGCATTCGACAGGATAAGTCTTATAAGATTTACACATGAACATCTGTTAGGTTGACGTTATTTTTAGAAGAAATAAAAATTTTGTCAACGTTACAGAAAAAATAATATTAAAATAGATAATAAATCTCATCCTTTTATTCTATGTGCCAAATATTTTTTTTTAAATATCAAACGTTGTTGTCAGAAATCTCAGACCCAGAGAAAAATTTTATTTAAACCGCAAATATAATTTACTTGAGTTAAACAAAAGTATATTTGTTATTTCTAAAATTGGTTAAACTTAAATTTTATACCTATCAAAATTGTTAAAATATTCTATACTTTAAATTTTTCATTCATCATTAAGAAATTTTTCTCTACAGCCAAATCAGTAAATTTTAATTGATTTGAATGCAAAAAAGCAGTCATTGATTCAACTCAATTAAAATTTTAACTGAATTAGATTTAGAAAGAGTGTTCTTTAATTTAAAAAAAAGGTTCATTAAAATGGGAAATCAAAAATTAATATACATTTTACTAATTAATAATAATACATTTTGTCAAGTAAAATTATTTTCATTCAAATGAATATTAATTTATGAAAAAATTGGGGTCATTTAAACAAGTGCAAAAAGTTTAAATCATTCAATTCAAAATCAATTAGTAATAATTTAAACAACACAGTGACAAAAAAAGTATAAAGTAAATAATATTTTTACTGGTAATCCAGTTCATGTGATAGTCATTCATATAAAAAAAATTTGCGATTTCTCTACCTAGCGTCTTTTGAAACGAAAAAAAATTACTTCATTCATGTACACAAGAAAAATATTTTATTCCTCAAAATCTCTGTACTTCGAACCTATTTAATTTCACAAACACTCATCGGTCCACTCACATACCGCCCAGGTGCAAAAGACCTACACTAGGGATAAAGGGGCACGTTAGGCACCCATACGTCCCGGGACGCATCCGTCACCTGAGCTCAAAAAGTACCACACAAATTCCACACAGAAAAAACAGTCAATAAAATATTAAAAAGTATCGAGTATATTAATATTTTTCTATATGAATATATTAAAAAATAGTACTTCTAAATTTCACAGCAATTAAACTTTAACTTTCTGATATAAAAAATGTATTATCAGGGTTGCCACAAAAATTTGATTTTGTTTTTTCCTGATTTCTAGACAGAATTTTGACATTTTACTTGACCCTAATAGACTCTAAAAACGATTAGATAGACAAGTAAACATTTTTAATACATTTGTTTCTGAATATCTTTAATCCTAAAATTATTCGAAACAGAAATAATTTTTCTTTTAAATAAATATTTAACTATTAATAAATTATTTTTCGACAAGAATTAAGATTTTCAAAAATTTTCAATTATTTATGTAAAAATTTTTATTTTTAAAATTAAAAAATTAAAACTATTATTATTAATAATATTAATTATTATTTCAATTTTCCCAGAATTTTTCACAAAACAATTGTTTAATTATTAATTATTATTAATTAAAATTATTTTTTAAATTTTAAAGTAAAATTATTCTCTAGATAAATTGTAAATAATAAGTTTATGAAAGTTTTTTATTTATTAAATTATTTAAAATAAATTAAATTTTTTACTCTGCATAATTTAATTGATAACAGAAATAGAAAAAAAAATTAATGCTTCCCATTAAAATTTGTGGTAATTTCAAATTAAAAATTTTTATAAGGCAAATAAAGAAGTTCAAGATTAATAAAAGGTTTTTAATATTTTTAAAGGTTGATGGATACCAAGAACTAGAATTTTCCCATCAATTCTATAGAAATTCAATATTTTTCCAGTGCTTTTAATAAAATTCCCTGATTTTTCCCTAAGTTTCCTAATCAATTTTAATTTTCCTGAATTTTCTGACCTGTGGCAACCCTGATATCATAATATACAGAAACTCCAAATATGAAATTCTAATATATATATTTAAAAATTAATAAGAATTTATATTATTACCCATTCACTTTAATTTAATTATTTATTAAATTTATAAATATTTTAATTTAATTTAATTTACTTTGTTTTTAAATTTATTTGCTTTATTTAGATTTAATTAACAAATTGAGTTCCAATTGCATTGAAAATAGGAAACTACTTTGAACCATAACAAAAATAACAAATTATTGACTGTTAAATATCAGAAAATACAAAATTTCATGCACATGAAAAGAAAAATAAACATTAACAAAAACATTATTTTACGTATTAATGAAAAGTATACTGTAAAATAATATTTTGTCAATGGTGTCACCATGTTGTTATAAGTTCCTTCCCTGTTTTGCAAATTCTTTAAATTTTAGGTTATATATAAAAAAAATGCAAATTATTTATTCAGAGAAAAATGTCAAAAAGACAGTTTATTATTTAAAAGATAAGAATAATAATAAGCAAAAACTACTTTCACGTATTGAGAAATAACTCAGAGTAATAAATGACTTTAATTAAAGAAAATTAAATTATGAAGTGACAAACAGGGAAAGGGCGAAAGATTAAAAATATTTTAAATGACTCACCAGTTCAAAAAATATTCAATATACAATAGACATACCATTATAGTAGTAGCCCCTATGTTTCCTCCGCGACAGCCAATGGATTTATCGTTTGGATTTTTCTTAACTGTTAGTGCCAATGTAATATTCCTCTTCATCCTTTCACGTTATTTTCTATTTCCTTATTTATTTATATTCACTAATTCCTCTCATCATTTTCTGAAACAGAATTAGTACTTAATTCAATGCAAATTCAGTTAAATATGTTAATATTAATAGTAATTAATTTTTGTTTACACCGGTTGAACAATTTTGTTCAATAACATAACCTATAATGATACTTTTATAATGAACTGTGAACCAGAAAAGATATACAATAATTTGAATTAATTACAATATGTATAATTATTTTTGCCACATGTTAACTATTGTAATATATGTTATTATTAATTTTTGTTTAAACAACATTGTAAATATAACTTGAACTGATATTTTTGTATTAAATCTATTCAATTGTCAAACAGAAAATAAGAGCCACGGGCCCACGGCCTGTTACACTGCAGAGGGTAAAGTAGAAAACAAGTAAAATAACGGAAGTGGAGAAAAAGTTAAATTCACGTCTACGCCTGCGCAGCAGTTTTCAAAAGTGAAATGTACTGATGCGTTGAAAGGAATTTAACTCTGTCCGATTTTTACTCAAATTATTGTAATATTTTTGTAAAATAATAACAATAAAATTTCTAACTAATTTATTTAAATAGCTCAAATAGAATTTTGAATCAAATTACAATGCAGATGTCAAAAAGTAGGAATATTGATTATTTTTAACATTGCATATTTGCATAAATTCTGGTTCGAAATCAAGAAATATTTGCATTTTAATATTAGAAATTAGTAATATTCATATAAAAGTGACAATTTATACCATTTTTAGCCACGTTCTTCATGGATGTCAGCAGATGCAATAAAGAAACACGGAGCTCCAAACGACAAGCGACACAGTGACGTCAGCATCTATGATTCAAAATGGCGGACGTCGTTTTTGTGGACAAGCTTCCACATATATCCGCTAGATGGCGCTGATGTCGAATTTATTAACCTGCAAATGTAAAGTCACAAAAATTAATTATTTTTACTGAAATTAATAATATTTTTGTAAAATAATAACAATTGCTGATTAATTAACATAAATAGTTAGCTCAAATAATATTTTTAATTATATTACATTGCAGATGTAAAAATGTCGGAACATTGATGGCGTCATTTTTGACATGGCATATTTGCATAAATTCTGGTTCGAAATCAAGAAATATTTGCATTTTTATATTAGAAATTAGTAATATTCATATAAAAGTGACAATTTATACCATTTTTAGCCACATTCATCATGGATGTCAGCAGATGCAATAAAGAAACACAGAGCTCCAAACGACAAGCGACACAGTGACGTCAGCATCTATGATTCAAAATGGCGGATGTCGTTTTTGTTAACAAGCTTCCACATATGTCCGCTAGATGGCGCTGCTGTTGAATTTGTTAACCTGCAATTGTAAAATCACAAAAAAATAATTATTTTTACTCAAATTAGTAATATTATTGTAAAATAATAACAATTGCTGACGAATTAACATAAATAGTTAACTCAAATAATATTTCTAATTAAATTACATTTCAGATGCAAAAATGTCGGAACATTGATGGTGTAATTTTTGACATGGCATATTTGCATAAATTCTGGTTCGAAATCAAGAAATATTTGCTTTTTAACAATAGAAATTAGTAAAATTCATATAAAAGTGACAATTTATACCATTTTTAGCCAGATTTGACATGGATGTCAGCTGATGTAATAAAGAAATACGGAGCTCCAAACGACAAGCGGCACTGATGCCAGCATTTACGATTCAAAATGGCGGACGTCGTTTTTGTGGACAAGTTACCTCTTTTTACCGCCAGATGGCAGTAGTGTAGAACAAAAAATTTACTTTTTCACTTCTATTTCATTAATATTTTAGAGAAATAGTCAAAAACTAATTAATCGTAAGGATATTAATTAATATAATTCTATTATTGCTGAAATTATTTACGTGGTCTACGACAATAGCATAAAAATGCAAATTCTCTTTATCTACGATAAACTTTTTTTAACGTTCCCTATTTTACCATCTGCCGTGCATCCAAGCTCAGAAAATAAAATATTAGAATTTAGTTGTTCCTGACATTTGTATGTATTTAATATATGCAATAGACGCATATTTAAATCTACACGCCGTTTTCAATTTATAGGTAGAAACTAAAATCTTTTCCAAATCAAATGTTTTCAGGTGGCATTTTCAATAAAAACAACCATGACATTAACAAGAGGAAAAACACTGAATCGATTCTTTGAAGTTAACAGCAATAAAAAATATGGAAACACCAGTGTTTTTTATTAAAACTAGTAACAATAGAAAAAGCATTGACCTTATTCGTTTATACTTATAATGAAAAGAAACAAAAAATAGGAAAAACATGCTTACCATATCATGACATCGCCAATAGTAGATAATGTCTGTGCAATATTTGTGTAGCTCAGACAACATTGGAATTGTGCTTCAATGGTTAATTGTTGACGCCCTATATTTAACATGAATTAGAAGATCATATTCTGATAGCTCTTTGTAGAGAAAGTTGAACTTTAGAAAAGAAAAAAATTTTCTATTTGACGTAAGCTTTACCTCTGGAATTATTCAGAACGAACTGAGGGATCCGCTTGAAAAGCGTCCGTATTTACGTGACTCCGAGGCAAGCGACTGCAGAGTGGGAGGTGATCAGTGGGAGAATGGTGGGGCGAGCTGCGTCGCACTCTGATTGGCTGGGAGATTGCTTGAGAGCGCGCACCAATAAGCGCAGTGGCAGACAGTGGCTGCAACGTAAATACCGCGGTCTGCGCAGTTTCCCTTCACTTCGCGCTGGATTTGCATATGGGTGAGACTGCGCTGCTTTGAAAAATATTTTTAGCAACATTTTCAATACTCGGAGGACGGGGAGAATACATGCATACGGTAATAATGAATTTTCTATTATTAATAATCGAATAGTCTAATGAGAGCGCCATCTTTATACTATTAGCCTATTATTGTCTCAATTGATAAACGAAATTAATCTCAAAATTTCTACTTTTACACTTTTGTGGAAAGTTTGTAACATATTAGTTGAATGAACCGTAAATACCACATTCTCGATTTTTTCCATTCTTTTTTTACGAGTAGTAGTCTAATTTAAAAAAATTTTTGATTTCATTCATTTCATTGCTTAATTAGCAGGGAAAAAACCTATACTTGTGTAAATATTCTTGTTTTCTATCTTGTCATCTTGTTAAAATTATCGATCGGTCTACTGCAAGCGCCATCTGTAGACGATAGGCGTGTACTATTATCTCAATAATAAAGATAATAAAACCAAGTTAACCTCAAAATTTCTACCTTTGTTCTTGTAGTTTGTGGAAAGGGTGCGGGAAGTTTTTAACGCAATTAGTATATTAATTTGTATTAGGTATTCCGACAATATAATATTTTATATAGTAGGTTAGGATTCTACGGTAATCTACAACATATATACATATATAGCTCCGAAACTAGGCAGTACTGACATTTGCACAACATTTCCAATATTGATGAATTTCGTCAATATTGTTGCAATATACTGATATTTGTGATCATTTTATCTAAATCATTAATGAAATGAGAATTATTATTATTATAATGTGCTTTTCTCTTTCCAGTTTTTTCGACACACGCTTGACAACTCACACATAGTAAACAAGTAAGAATCGAAATCCGGAAGGTAATTCACGATGAATGTCAACAAAGTCGTGAAAAAGGACAATTTTCAATAAATATCAGTAAGTTTGTACACTTTTGAATCTAAATCAATTTGCGCAATCGAAAAAATAAAATTCCTTTATCAACTTTTATTAAGTTGTATGGAAATCGACAAAAAAGTAATTCTTGGTTTTCCTATAATTCAGAAATTATCATGTTATAGGTTATGTTTGTTTGATAAGATTATTTCGATTGTTTTGAAACGATAAAAACGATTTATAGAAACAAATACAATTAAATTCGTCTTTAATTTTGAGTAATTATTTTTTCTAGGCATATTTTTTACTGATTTTTATCTGAACGACGTAAAAAGATGAAAAATCAAGGAGATTTAATAACAGTTGAAATTATCCAAACTATAAGGATAATTTTTTTACTAATTTTGTCTGAACGTCGTAAAAAGATGAAAAATCAAGGAGATTATAACAGTTGAAATTATCCAAACTATAAGGATCATTTGTTTTGATTTATACGATTGTCATGTGTCTATAATTATTTTCGGAGAAAGATTTGCAAATCATCGTTGAGGTACAATTACCAAGCAGGGATTTTCGGAATTATTTCCTTATTCACAAAAATGTGTAATGACTTGGCAGTCATCGATAACTCGATTTTTATTGAAAAGGTTAGTTATATTTAAAACATTTTTTTTTACTATTTGACAGTTCAAAATAAAAATTGTTAGGTTATGTTGGTTTCGTAAAATTGTGAAAAATGTTCATTCTAACAAATTTATTTAAAAGCGATTTTAATAAAAAAAATTTATTCTTTTTCAGAAAAATATGAGCGATTTGACATGAATAAAGCTAATTGTAAACAAAGAAAATATTAATTGCTGCTTGAATTACCTAGAAGGAAAGGAGAAATGTTACAAAGACATCAAAAGACATTTAGCGGCAGCCGAACCATCAAAACTATTGTCTTATACAATTATGGTATGTCGATATAATTATGTTAAATATTTTATTAGTTTTCACAAATGAAATTAAAAAAAATATTTTTTACTATTCATATCTGTGTATTGATAGAAATTTTCGTTTCGTTTTTAATAAGTCATTTATTATGTATTGTAATATCTACGTGTATGTACACATTTTAATTTCTATTATAACGAAACGAAAATTTCTATAAATACACAGATATTTAATATAATAAGTCGAAACGAAAATAAACACCAAAAATTTGAAAAAAATTTTTTACTATTAATTATTTATTGTAAATTACTTATTTAATTATTAAAACTGTAGTTTATTAATATTAATATATATTAATAATTATTATTATTACTAAAGTAATCACAGTAAATTATTCACAGGTTATTGTTCCAGGAAGGAAATCAGAATGGAACTCCTCTATTTTGCAGTGACTGTACTCTCGTCACAGATGTGCATTGAACAAACATGGATCTTCGGAAATGTCACATTCTTCACAAGGATGTATAATGACTTGGCATTCATCACTCAACGTGGTTTTTATCGAACGGTTAGTCATTTAAAATATTTCACGAATTTTCCACTACATCTCTATTTGACAGTTCAAAATAAAAATTATTAAAAGTACTGGAAAAAATTAAATTTTTAGAATTCATAAAATTAATAATTATAAATTATCTAATAAATAATTTTACTTAAATATTTCAAAATTATTTAAATTTTAAGAATTGCGTTTACAATTTTCATAAATAGATGAACTTCAAAAGATTTTAATTAGAAATTTTATTAAATGGCAATTTTGAATGAATTTAATTAAAAATTTTAAAGAACATAGATTATTATTTTCATAAATAATAAAAATTTCACAGAAATTCAATTATTTTCCAATTTTTTTATAAAATTCTTCAAAAGAATTCAATTTTGAGAAACATTCAATTATTCAATAAATGGTTTATTTTTGTATTTAAATAATTGAATTCTCTTAGAAATTTCGTAAACTTGAATTGTAAACAAATGGATTTGAAAATTCTCAAAGAACTTATTCAAATGATGGAAATAATTTTGAAGAAATCACAGTAACAATAATCTTATAATAATATAAAATAATGATTTTATCACTCGGTCATCTTTATTTATTATAAGTTGTTGAATTTCAAGTAGGTTTTAATTTGAACTTTTTGAAAATCTTAATTTCTATGGAAAAATAATAATGATTGAATATTTATTTAAAAATAAAGTTATTGATGTTTTCAAATAATTAATACAATTGAAAAAATTCGTAAATGAATGTAATATATAGAGAACATTTTTTTGAGTATCTAATAATTTTTAGAGTCAATCAGAATATTCTTTGAGGTCAGGGAAAAAGTCAAAATTTTGTCTAGAAATCAGGGAAAAAAAAATTAAATTTTTGTGTCAACCCTGACATTATTTATTTAGGTATTGAATTTACTATATAATTAATTAAGTACTTATTATTCTTTTTCAGAAAAAGCTGAGAGAAATCACATGAACAAAGGTGATTGCAGATAAGGAAAATATTAATTCTTGACTGAATGTCATACAAGAATGAGGAGAGAACTGACAATGAGATTTAACGACAATCGGAATCATCCAAACGGTAAGTCCATCTTCTGTCTTGACGGATGCGATTGTGGTATGTCTATAATTATGCTGAATAATTTATTTGCTACTACTAATCTAATAAAAAAATATTTTTCCAGACTTAATATTAATTCATATTTTTTATCTGCAGGTTTTTCTTTTTGGAAACATTTATTGGTTGCACATTTGGAAATTTATTGGTTGCACAGGAGGAAATTCAGTAAATGTGGACACAGTTCGTTGATATAATATTTAGACAAACTGTTAGTAAGTCATTTTAATTTATGGAGATTATTTGCTGGATTTCGGTCCACGAATGGAAGATTGGTCCGTTCGAAAGCATCTGTGCTATTATTTTAGATGTCCATTCACAAAGCGCACAAATAAGCATAGATTTTCAGAAGTGTCACATTCCTTACAAGGATGTCTACAGGCTTTGCAGTTAATGTGGTTTCTGTCGAAAGGTTAGTCATTTAAAAAAGTTTCTAAACATTTTTCATCTCTTTTCTGTTTGACAGTTCAATATAAAAGTAACTTACAGGTTTTGTTAATTTCATTCTATTATTTAAAGAAAAATTAATATTAGCACTAGAAAAAAATATTTAATTAAGTTTATCTTGAATTAAGTACTTTCTTTTTTTCAGAAAGTGATTACAATGAGAATTGACAAAATTCCAATATACCAAATCAACTGAGTGAATTTACCTACAAATAAGGAAAAAATTAACATCGAACTGAAAAATATAAAGGAAACAATGGCACTTAATGAGAGTCGAATTATCCGAACGATTTATTATTTGCGATGGAGGATTGAATTATGGTATGTCTATAATTCTATATATTATATTGAATATTATTTTAATCGGTGAGTCATTTAAAACATATTTAATATTTCGCCCTTTCCCTGTTTGGCAGTTCATAATTCAATTGTTTTCAATTAAACTTAATTGAAAAAAAAACTTTATTGAAACTTAACTCTTTTTTCAATGAAACTTCAATTAAACTACTTAAGTAGTTTTCGTTTATTATTCTTATCTTTTAAATATTGAAAATGTCTTTCTGACTTTTCTCTAAATAAATAAATTGCATTATTTTTATATATAACCTAAAAATTAAAGAATTTGCAAAACAGGGAAGGAACTTCTAACAACACGGTGACACCATTGACAAAATATTATTTTACAGTATACCTTTCATTAATACGTAAAATAATGTTTTTGTTAATGTTTATTTTTCTTTTCATGTGCATGAAATTTTGTATTTTCTGGCATTTAACAGTCAATAATTTTGTTATTTTTGTTATGATTCAAAGTAATTTCCTATTTTCAATACAATTGGAACTCAATTTGTTAATTAAATCTAAATAAAGCAAATAAATTTAAAAACAAAGTAAATTAAATTAAATTAAAATATTTATAAATTTAATAAATAATTAAATTAAAGTGAAAGGGTAGTAATATAAATTCTTATTGATTTTTAAAAATATATATTAGAATTTCAAATTTGAAGTTTCTGTATATTATGGTATCAGGGTTGCCACAGGCAAGAAAATTTAGGAAAATTAAAATTGATCAGGAAACTTAGGGAACAATCAGGGAATTTTATTAAAAGTACTGGAAAAATATTGAATTTCTATAGTATTGATGGAAAAATTCTAGTTCTTGGTATCCATAAACCTTTAAAAATATTAGAAACCTTTAATTAATCTTGAACTATTTTTATTTGCGTTATAAAAATTTTAAATTTGTTATCACCACGAATTTTAATGAAATACATTAAATTTTTTCTATTTCTGTCAACAGTAATTAATTAAATAGAATACAAAATTGAATTTATTTTAAATAATGTAATGAATGGGACACTTTTATAAGCTTATTAGTTATAATTTATTTAGAGAATAATTTTACTAAAATTAATTATAATTTCTAAAATTTTAAAAAATTGAATTTTAGATGAGTTGCGTTCACAATTTTTACAAGGTTTAAAAACCAAAATTTTTCAAAATCTTAATTCCTTTAGAAAAATAATAATAATGGTTAAAAATATTTATTTAAAAGAAAAATTTTTTATGATTTTGAAATCAGGGAAAAATAATATCAAATTTTTGTGGCAACTCTGATTATACATTTTGTGTAACATAAAGTTAAAGGATATAATTCTTGCGAAATTTAAAAGTACCATTTATTAATATAATCAGCAATAATTTTTAACATATTATTGACTGTTTTTTCTGTGTGGAATTTGTGTGGTACTTTTTGAGCTCAGGTGACGGATGCGTCCCGGGACGTATGGGAGCCTAACGTGCCCCTTTATCCCTAGTTTAGGTTTTTTTGCACCGGGGCGGTATGTGAGTGGACCGTTGAATGTTTAGTGAAATTAAAGAATAGGTTTGAAGTAAATAGATTTTTGAGCAGGTAGGAATATAGCTTTATTATATGAATGAATGAAGTAATTTTTTTTTTCGTTTCAAAACACAGTAGGTAGGGAAATCGCGAATTATTTTTAATGTATGATTGTCACATAACTGGATTACCAGTGAAAATATTATTTACTTTATACTTTTTTGTCTCTGTGTTGTTTAAATTATTACTTATTGATTTTGAAATGAATGATTTAATCTTTTGCACTTGTTTAAATGACCTCAATTTTTTCATAAATTAATATTCATTTGAATGAAAATAATTTTACTTGACAAATGTATTATTATAGGGGTCGCTTATAAGGTACATAGCCTCTTCTCTCCCTTTACTTTAGTGCTACGTAGTTTATGAACGATCCCTTAATTATTGAAATGACTATTAATTTTTGATTTCCCATTTTAATGAACTATTTTTTTTAAATTAAAGAACACTCTCTTTAAATCTGATTTATTAAAATTTTAACTAATTTGACCAGTGACTGCTTTTTGCTTTCAAATCAGTGAAAATTTAAGAATTCAACAGTAGAGACCAATTTTTTACTGATGAAGGAATATTTTAAAGTATAGAAAATAGAATATTAAATTTTGACAATTTCGTTACTCATTGTTAAAATTTAAGTTTAACCAAATTTTGCCATCTTACCATTGTGAAGTAAATATGAGCACGTGTACTTTTAGGATCGGTAGCCTGAAGAAAAATTTGTATTCAATTAAATTTAAATTAAAGCCAAATTTGACTGAGAATCAGTAACTCCTATTCTCATGATTTCAATCAGTGAAAAATCACTGAGAATCAGTTAAAAATTACAGAAATATAGCAGTCATTTTTTACTGATTAGACAATTTAAAAAATTACTGAAAATTTTAGTTATTTTTTAATTGGCCAATCAGTAAAAAAATGAATGCTATATTCCTGTAATTTTCAACTGATTTTCAGTGGAATTTCACTGTTTGAAATCGTGAGAATGGATTCACTGAAAATCAGCCAAATTTCACTAATTTAATTTTAGAGAGTGAGATTTCTAAAAGGAACGTTTGATATTTTTGAAAAAATGGTTCAATGGTTCAACTGAAAATAATTAAATTTGTTAAAGAATTTCATAAAAATCTTTTTCACAAATTAAATTTTCAAAGTATTTTAATTTAATAAATAATAATTGATAAATAATTGAATTTTATAAAAAGTCACATTCTAATGTATTCAAGTTTCTTAGGGGCCGTCCATAAATCACGTGACACTTTAGGGGGGGGTGGGGGGTCAACAAATTTATCACGACTTGCAGATAAAATGGCGCTAATACATGCAATAGTGTATCACATGGGGGGGGGTCAAAAATGGTCAAAAATAGCATCACGTGATTTATGGACGACCCCTTAGTGCGAAGATTAATAATTAAAATTTTTATTAGTTAATTTAAAAAAAGATACACACTTAAAATTTTTTAATAAAATTGAATTTTCGCAAAGTTTTTTTGAAAATTCTGAAAAATAAGATTTTTGAAATTTTTTAATTCTATTATTTCAAGACAATTGAATTTTTCTAAACAAATAATTGGAAATTTTTTTACATTCTATTAAAAATAATTGAATTCTTTTAAAGAATTTTACTTAAATTTTTCAATTCTATTGTTTCAAGATAATTGAATTTTTATAAACAAATAATTAAAAATTTTTGAAATTTCTTTACATTCTATTAAAAATAATTTAATTCTTTTAAAGAATTTTATTTAAATTTTTTCGAAAATAATCAAGGGAAGTTAGTTACCGTAATTATAATTTTATTTTTAAAAATTTCTTCGCAATATATTCAATTATTTTCATAAATAGTAAAAATCATTGCAAAATTTTAAATTTTATTAAAATTCGTCGAAAGAATTCAATTATTTCTAGAAACTGTAAAATAATTCTTCTCAAGAATTCAATTATTTTCATAAATAGGAAAATTCTTTATATTTTTTAAATTCTTTTGAATATTATTTTTAAAAAAATTCTTCACAAGAATTCAATTATTTTCATAAATTTCCATAAAATTCTTCGCAGAAATTTAATTATGTTTAAAAATTTTTTTAAATTCTCCTTAAAATTCCAATTATCTTTATAAATAATTAAATTGTTCTCGCACAATTCAATTATTTTCATAAATAATAACATTCTTTGGAAGGATTCAATTTCTTTTATAAATAGTAAAATTTTTTGCAGAAATTCAATTACTATCAATACATTTTAATGAAATTGAATTAATCAAATTTTCAATTATAATTATGAACAGACATGATTATTTTAAAAAAAATTGAAAAAATTCTTTGTTTAATTCAATTATTTTCCAAATATTTTAATTAGGGTGAAGAAATGACTGATAATTAGTAAAACATATCTGAAAATTGATTAAATTTGCCTAATTGGGAATAAATTTGAAAATAATATGTACTAAAGTATCACTTATTTTTAACTGACAATCAGATATGCTTTACGACTGCAGTTACTTTTAAATAAATGAACAGTAGAAATATTACTATTTGAATCAGTGAGTAATTTTTTATACTTGCAAATTACTTATTTTTAACTGATTCAAATTTAGAGAGCATACAAATTCTAAATAGCCATGAAATGTTGCATGCTTCCGTGGCATAAATTTACACTTTATTTGCAAAATATTTCTTCTCGACAAAATCTTGGGGAAAAATAGATTTTATTGGGGAAAAAATCGCGAAAATCTTCAGTGAATGTACTCCAGTGTAAAATTAGAGGAAAATGTTGAGCACAGATAAGTTTTTTCCTAAATGAAAATTGTGTCTATCCAAGGACCATTCATTCCTGGTCTTTATTTTTCTTTAATCTCATGGGGAAACTCGTGAAGATACTTAGTTGTGTGACAGGCAGGTAAAATCGGCAATCGCTCGAAATCGTCTCCTACTCTCCTCTACGTGTACATATATACTGAGAGAGAGAGATAGAAATACATGTATATACATTTTAATACAAGCATACACACAGTGTTGGGATCAGTGGATGCGCGCGTAGTTTTCGTTCAGAAGGAGACGCGGGTGCGCAGATGGAGGACCATGAGGGCGGGAATGGGATGTTGGGACGTGAGAGGTGGCATTGTGTGGCGGCAATAGGGTGAAACTTGCATTGGTCTTGAAGCACACACACACACAAATATACAGAATCACCACAGGCTCAACCATCGGTGCCAGTATTAGTATAGAGATGGTGGTGGCACTGAATCTCCCTCGAAAAGTCCGCTGCTGCTTTCCGCACTCAGTTCTGAAAGCCGAGCTCGAGCTAAAAGCACGTCTTTCGTCATTAGAAAAAGAGAATATAAATTTCTCAAAGCCGGCAAATTTTCTTTCTTGTGGCGACGCGCGTGTTCTCGGTCTGTGCTTAATTTTTTAATATTG